AAGATAACTCTCCTGATTTCAAATGATTAACCTGAGTGGACTTCATTTTTCAAAAATTGGATGAAAACAAACACACAAAATAACTAAAATCAACTTCAACAACTGGTAGAAAATATGACAATTTTAAGAAACAACCGTTTCCATTTATCACCTGATAGTAAGTCTCACTTGCACTCCCGCGTACTGAAATCCAAAACTCAATCAGTTTGCTGCAACTTCTGCTCTTGACTTAGTAATCAGTTGGTAAACAAAAATGAGGTCTTTAACCTGTCTCCTAAAAGTTCACACTTCCACTAACAAGGACTAAAAAAAATGGTTTCAAACAACATGGGACAACATGGACACTAACAAACAAATTAAACCGTACATACAGGGAAAGACAAAATACTAATAATATTGAAAACTTGACCTTTGAGTGAGCTACACTAAATAACACCAAAATAAACCAACTCTTGTTCCGACAACTAAATGAGACTGCTCCTAGTCAAAACTAAAACAGCATCTCCTGATCACAAATATTACACCTGTGGTCATTCAGATACAAGAAAGGATACACAATAAACAGTCTACTACTGAGACTAAAACTTGTCGAATCTTCTCTACGACTCACAATGACTACCCCTCGTACAACAACATTAATTAACCCTTGGCATTTAAATACACCTTCAGAGACGGTTAATTAGAAGACAAACTGCATAATACTACTTCTCAACTACATAGCTCAAAAGTCACTCAAACGAATACACACATTTACTCAAAATTGACGGAAACAAATAAAAAATTACAAAAACCGATTATTCTGTAAGATTTGTCAAATCAATAAAAAAATAAATGTAACAGTAACTGTATAATTTGCTACTGTTTTTAAATTCTTTTCAATATCAATACTTCAATTAAAACTCATATTTAAATATTTAACTCAAATATTTGCTTTCATTTACCATTACATATATGAAGAACAATACATGTCACTATAAGTACATTACCTGAAAAAACAATACATAATGTTGGTACAAAATACATACATTGTAATACAAATACTTTACTGTTTGTGAGACACTTTGGGGCACTATTCAAAAAAAAAGTTTCATATAAATGGCAGGGAACTGGGGAAACTGAAAAAGATATGTGGCTTCAGGAAAATGGTACAAAAATCTAAAAAATTAAGGAATATTCAAAAGCTCGCACGTTGGGAGCCAAAATTGTAACGACTATTTTGCTTACCACAGGGTAAGAATATGGGGGACAAGATTGGGCAAACAAAATAATCGAAACAAGTGCATACGGACACTCAGTTGGTTGTTGGAGAGCTGGGTCGTGGATAAGTTGAAGATATTGGGGGTTGGATTGGGCAACTACAAAAAAGAAATAAAGGGGGTACTTATACAAATCTCTTGGGACAAACAGAATGAAAATAAACGGAAACACCTCAAGAAATTTAATATAGGGCGCCACTTGAGGTGCCCAATTATACCTATTACAAACACTAGTTGTAACTAGGGAAATAATTGTATAACATAAAAAATATAGAAAAAAATATCTTTTCAAATAAAACTCAAATAGATCAGAGAAACAAATTAATCATTTATTTTTGTCTCAAACAAAACAGATCAAAAATACATATTATAAAAGAAACATATCGTATAAATAATACAAATAACAAAAACTTACATGTTCTTTGTTTACTATATTATGGCCAATTAGATTATCAAAAATTAAGGATCCTTCTTAATGAAAACATATAAATTTAAACTTATATATGAAATATCGTTTCTACATAATTATCAAATTAAATTGTCATAACAAAAAAAAACAAATTAAACTTGCTGTCAGGTATCACATTTAATTTTGATGACAAAGAATGAAAGCAATTATTACTTTAGCCAAAAAATATCTGTCTTTACTTTGAAAAAATTAATATATTGAATTGTTACCTTAATGTTTTTTTTATACAAACACTTTGAAACTTTGCATCTCTGGGGAAGCTACTCGGACCAAAACTTTCAAAACTGGAAGGCAGCAACCATCAGGAACTAGTTCTACACTCCAGGACAAAAACGATTGGAACAGGAAACTTAGTGGAAGAATCGAGCCGACTACGGGGACATCCTATATCATATTTCTTAGAAACTTCCGGTATTTATTCAAATCTGATAGTATTATCATTGACCGGTCCTAAGACATTTCAAAAGAAATTAAATCCTCTTTGATTCAAAAATGGCCCAACATTTCACATCCGCAAAAAAGCGTCTACCACCATTTCAAATAGGTTCTTGGACTCACATTGTAGCACGTCTGCTCTGCTTCAAATCTAATCGTCGACCTATTGTCACATGTCTGCTCTGTTTGAAAACTTAAATCTCGACTTCGTTTCAAAATCTTTGACTCAATTGTCACATGTCTGTCCGTTTGGAACTCAAATCTCGACTTCTTTGCTTCGTTACATTTTACAAGAAATAGCCAAAAATTTCCCTTCCGTCTTGCAGCTAACCTGTCCCCACAAACTCAAGAACCAAAACAATATCCCTCGCTCGTATCGACAAAAAAACAACTTTTAAATGTTCCTTATTGCCTAAACAAACAAATATTCTATTTTTTGACCTCTGTTAATAACGAAAAACAAATTTAATATATAGGGGAATTCATGGTTTATTGCGTTTTAACATAATACCTCTTTGGCGACAAAAAAACTTGTTTGTTTCACCTAACATTGCAACACAGAGATAAAAACATATTTCCAACGTTAATACGCATTAAAAATCTCGTCAAAAAAAACTTGAAATATTTACAACGTACCTACATTTAACTTTATTGATCGATTTCTTGGTAGAAACAACAGGGACGTACCATAGAAATATTTTATATACACTTTAAATAAAAAAAACGCTACAAGTTTTATCCATATGATCACAAGTCTGTTTTATTTTGTTCATTAGATTTTGAAGGTCTTCGCAATTAGCAGTACTAAGGTATCGTCGGCATATCTAATATTGTTGACGGTTACTCATTCACAATAATACCTTCGGTTGTCTCTATTAAGGCGTCCTTAAATATTTCTCCGAATTATAAGTTAAAAAGTAAAGGCGACAATATACAGCCTTGTCTCACTCCTCTTTTTATATTTATTTCATCGACAGTTCTTGTTCAACCTTTATTTTTGCCACTTGATGCAGTATAGATTTTTAATTATTCGTAGATCTTTATCGTCCAATCCAGCTGTTACCAATATTTCTAGCATTTTGTTATGTCGGAGTTTGTCAAAAGCCTTTTCCAAATCGATTGCACAAATATACACATTTTGATTTATATCTCTGCATCTCTGTACTAGCACCTGTATATTTAAAAAAGGTTCTCTTATACTCAAGCCACTCCTAAACCAAATGAGTATTGCTCATTCTGTCCCTAAAAGCGTGTAAATTTGCTGTGTTTTACTCGCAGGAAGATCTTCAAAACGTGATCATCAGACTTATTGTCGATAATCACCGCATATCTTTGGACGATGTTTCTTAGGTATTGTGACAAATGTCGACTTTAACCAATCATATTGTGACAAATTTAATATCCAGTGTCATAAATTCTGTTAAAAGAGATTACACAGAGTTTAATTCCATTTTCTACATAAACTTTAGTATTTCTAGCACTTACTTCATCGGGGCCAAATGCTTTTCCATTCTGTTGCGTTTGTATTGAACGTGTACTCTCACTTTCTGTTATAGATGGACCTGAGATAACAATCGATGTTTTGTGTTATACTCTCTCATTTCAAATAATTCATAAATGTAGTTTTCCCATTCTTTTAACTGTTCATTGATGTCTAATATTCTGTGTCCGTTTCTGTCTTCTAAACTTTGGAATACTTGTTTCCGTTTATTTCCAGCGACCTCTTTTAATTTCTTGTGCAGATACAATGTATCGTGTTTCTTTTCATATTGTTCAATTTCATTACATTCTTACTATGAAATTGTGTTTTCGCGTCTCTTATCTTTGCCTGATTATTGCGTGGATCCTCTTGTATTCGTTTTTATCTTTATTTCTGACTTCTCTTCTTAGATCCATAAGTGTGAGTATTTCTTCTGTCATCCACCATTGTTTTTTTCTTGCTTTTAGCGCACTCAATTTTGTTTCTTGAACAGTCTTTAATATGTCTTTAATTCTCGTTTGTCGTTTTCCTCAGTACTTTCCTCTTGTTTGATGTAAACTTCATTGTTTGTTCTAATATACTAGTTATTTCTTGTTTTACAGTATGACCCTGAATTTAGTTTTCTTAATATTAAGGTCTAGTCCGTATGCTACGCTCACAGTTCTCACTTGGTTTAGTAAGGCTTGTTGATCATTTAGGCTCGTTGCTAGTAACACAGGCACGCGAGAGAAGCATAGAAATGAAAAAAATGAAAATTGTCTGAATAAAAATAAAAGAGATGACAGCATACGGATATTTTCGACATGGAGACCTCACATAAAGTAAATATCGTCCAACCGCCAATCCAAATCTTACTTTCAGAATATTCGCACCAACCCCCGTGCCAATACCCACGCTAACCCTTCACGCCAACCATCCCCAAACCACGGTATAAATGAACCGTCCTCTGCTCCCACCCCAGTAGCAGCCCATGGATTGGTTAGTAATCAGTGTATTAGTGTCTGGGTGTTTCTTGCTTTATATTTTTTATTTTTATTTAAAAATAAAAAGCTAATTGTTTTTTATTTTTTTAAGCTTCCCTCCACCATTTGTTGATTCACCTGAAAGTACCATATCGTGGCTATATGATGAGCTTGACATCCAATGGAGAAAATGGTTACCCAGTTCAGTAAGCAACACAGTAAGGAGAGGCGCCTTTTATTCAGTTTTAATCAGGCCCGGATTTAGGTTGATTCCTTAAATATGAATTACTGCAATAACAAAAACTGGTAAGAAACATAAAGCAAATAGCACACTTTAAGTAAAAAAGCATAGTAAATAACGTAAATCGTTGATATGCTAAAACGTTTTGTATTTGTAGGTGGTTGCTGCTCAATAGTACAGATCCCGCAACAGAGCTGCAATGGTTTATTTATGAATTGCAGTCTGCAGAATTTAATGGAGAAAAAGTACATGTAATAGGTACGTATTTATTTATTTTCACAAACATAACTACAATAGAAGTATTTACGGTGGAATAGAGGTAAAATTCACTCCCAGTTACTTTTCTTTTAACCTGTCATCAAATCCTTGATAATGATCGCTGTTCCAGCATTCCTTTTTTTTATATCAAATCACTGCAGCATTCTTTGGGTTTTTTTAATTTATTCGTGCATAAAGATGCAACAAATATTGACATAGTACATATTTTATATAACTTTTAGCATCTTTTTTTAAGTTATTCGTATTATATCGTATTTAATTCACAAACATTCAATATCCCGTTGTAATAAACGCTGTTTCACCACTGTAACATCCACGTCTATAATGTTAAGGGCTGCTTATCTCTGCGAGCGGATGCAAGGCTTGCTGGTTCGACTAGTCTGAACGGACGTGATTTCGCCCTCGCGGATTTACAAGAGGGTAGAGAAAGTTTGGGAAAGGGGATGAAGGACTTCCAGATTGCAGGCCCTCTAAAGAGTTGAGTCTATGGGCTTGCTTTTGAAGCCGGAGCAATGTATAAGCGAAACTGTGTTCTCTTCTAGTCTCTACCTGTAAACGACCGGGAAAGAGCAATAAAACCCAATGTCGAACTTACAATATATTAAATAAATTGTATACTTAACTAAGTCAACAAGATATCAGTTATAACTAATTATTGTTTATTCAGTGCGAAGGGAGACGACAAGAGACCTTAGCAAGAAATATAAAGGGTGGACAATCTACGATTATTATGTATTTCCCCTGGGTTAGTATTTATGTTTAGTTACCTTAGTGTATTTAGGCCTAGCTAAAGAATATGTTCTTGTAGTCCAACTGGAATCAGGAACAGTCTGCTGAGAGTACTGTACGCTATCACAAATTCTCGAGATACGAAATATCCGGAACTTATACGGTACTACCGTTCCGTTGGATATACTAAGGCTAGTCGCAACACATCGAATTTGGACGGTCGATAAAAGTTCGACCGAACTTTTGTCGATGATGCCTTGCGCGCACACTACACGATATTTATTCGATGACGTTTTTTAATCCACAAAGGTTTGTTAGGTGGAGTACACAAAATCACAATGAGCAACACAGACCCACGTAGCAACACGGAGTGACGTACCTTGAGCAGGTGTCCAAAAACGCATCTGGTCTCTGGTCGGTCGATAAAGATCGATGTGTAGTGCGCGCGGTCATTTGATTATTATCGCCTTGGAACGACGGAACGACCACGGCAGCCGATGGAATGCAGTGACATTCATTGATCGTACACAACCATCAACACGACATCGATGCCATGCCGTTTGGTGATCGATGTGTGTGCTCGCTCAATTTGTTTCTTCGCGCACCAAAGGAACTTTTATCGACCGTCCAAATTGATGTGTGTGCGGTGGGCGTAACGCGCTCACTGAGCTGAATATACACCGGACGGCGGATCTACTAGCACACCCCTAGATCGTCGAGTACTCGCTGGCTCCGGTTGCCAACACTACTACCCAGATCGCCGAACACTATTGCCCCGCTGACCAACTTACTTCGTTTTTATGTCCGCGAACACGTATTTTCAATTATCGTCACAGTACCGAGGCGTCGCGCCTTACCCTAAAGTTTTCACTGATAGTGAAGTCTGCTCCACGTGTTTAAAGTGCGAGCAAAATACGTGTTTTTTTAATGCCTACTCTGAAGAGATCCAAAAAAATGCTCTTGAGGGTGAAACAGCTAGAGAAAAGGTAAATGGAGTTCCCATTAACAGTATTAGATATGCGGACGACACTGTGATCTTTGCGAAATATTGAATATCTTGAAGAGACTGGTAACCAGAATAGAGGAGTATGGAAACGAGTACGGTCTAACAATGAATGTGAAGGAAGACGAAATTTATGAGAATATCGAAAACTCATAGAAATAACGAGAATCTTCTAATAAACGGAACCAACGTCGAACAAGTGGGCAAATATGCATATCTGGGAACAATGATTACCTCCACAAATGATTACATTCAGGAGATCAAAATCAGAATAGAAAAGGCTAGAGCAAATTTCAACAAAATGAAAAGAGTGCTATGTGCAAAGGATTTAAAATTGGAACTAAGAGTTAGGTTGGCGAGGTGCTATGTTTTTTCGACTTTGTTTTATGGAATGGATTCTTGTTACCTTGTCATGCTGCGCAACCTGAGAGAGTGGTACGGATGTACATCAAATGAACTTTTCAGAGCAACCGTCTCAAAAGTCCGAATAGCTATGATGATTGCCGACCTCCGCCGCGGAGATGGCACTTGAAGAAGAAGAATGAAAATGGGCTTCTCTTTCGTTTTATCTCTATTCTAATAACCTTTTTGTCTATCACCACCTGTCATTCGAGCTATGTGTATGGCTCATCTCCATATTAGTCTGGCATATCCTTTAGATGTCCCCCGAGAGTCACCTTGTAGTTTCTCTGATCTCTTCGTTTTTCATTTTGTCTCCATTGGCTCCATTCTTCTCTGTGTGACTATCAGTTTGGTAGCGAAGGCTTTTGTTAAAGTAAGTTTTTCTGCTCCGTATGTCACACAGAGAGGACGCAATGATCAAATACTTTTTTCTTCCAGCCATGTGGGGAGCTTATTTTAAACGTTTTTTAGTTTTCCATATCGTACACTTAATTCGCAAACCGGCCAACTCCATTTGAACCAATTTTTCAGAGAGAAAATAAAACTTTATATATTTTTATAAGCTACCTGAGGACAAAAATTCCCTCCAGTGGTAGATACTATTATACTAATATTTTAGTGTAATACAAGTTTAAGAATGATCCTTGCAACGCTTTAGGGTATTTTAAGCTGTTATCCAACATTTTCTTTCCGGACAGATGTCTCTGTTCGTAGTTAGCAGTTACGCACCAACCCGAGATTACATCTCCAATTAACCATCATTGGTGATCTCTACAACTCGGTCTAAAATTACAAACAACACCCCCCCCGTCATTATACCATATACTATTAACTGGACACCACTGCCCCAGCTGACCTTGACAATACTCTCCAACTATCATGAGCATAATCCTATTGATAAAGCGACAAGTGTGTTATGACACCCTCAGATACCCTTATCTCAGGCGACTCACGCGTCAAGTCACTCGGACCTCTATCGCTGAACATATGTCATACCATGTACGTGCTCCCCCTCATCAATTGCCTTCTCCCGCTATCGACACTGTAAATGCGCACACACCGTCTGTCACACGTATGTGACCTCACCTCTCTCATCTCCTCCATGAAACGCACCCCTTACGTCTGCGCTGCTACTCACTTCTGCTGTATCATCCTGTTCTAGTCACCGCACTGTGTCTAGCAATGCTACCCATCCTCCACACCACCCCAACCTGCTATCTCTACCCCACATGCCTCTGACTGCGAAGTCCAGACACCTGTCTCCTACGATAATGTGTGCTCACCCGAAGGAGCCTTAGTTTATACTCGGACGTTCACGGCTGTTAGACCACCTCACGCCTTTATCGACGACGCTTCAGGCTCATAAGTACACCTCCTCACACCCAATGAGACTCGCAGAGACACACGCTACCACTGTAGTGTGTGTCCACACGTCATTGACCTCCCCGCCGAAGTCAGAAAATTCGACGCGACACTACATAAGCTCTACTTTCCAGTCTCAGTGATACCGGAAGACCTGTGACCATTCAGTGCTTGTAGATAACTCTCTTCGTATGATCGCAGTATTATATGACCGTGTTCTCTTGCATCGAGCTTATATTAGCCTGCCCCCAGTCATCAGTCTCCCAAACTCCTATGTTCAACACAAGTACCTTATAGCGTGTTTAGTGACCCAGCCTCCGCCATCCCTCAACCTCTCTCTCTTCCAGCCTGAGCACCTGTCCTGGACTGACTTCAGCTCTCCCTTAGACCCAATAATTTTACACCACGTATTCTAACTGCGGCCCTCATGACCCACTGTCACTAATTGTCACGTCTTTCACTCCGCAATCGTAACTATCCTAGTCTCTATACCCCACGTCTCTTATCACGCCGCACGATCACTACTGCCACTCTTCTACTCCATAGATCTTGTGCGCTCCCCCTGTCTTGTACATCTCCGATGCCTCCGCGTGTATCGTTGTCCCTCTCCCCATAACCGTCCCTTGCCCGTAGCTGTGCGCGCGCACGCACGTACCCTATCGCATCCTCTCCTGTCGCGTGTTAGAGGTATGTTGCTTAATGACAAGAGTGATCTCCCTGCTTATCCACATAGTCGTTCCATTCGCAGTGACTCGCCGCGCTATGCATGCTCCACCAACTCTTTACTCTTGAACAGAGTTCTGATCACATATTATCCATCCTGCACCCGCATCTATCTGTCACGAATCTCACTCTCCGGCCCTCCAAGCGCACACCGGAGTGAATGATCCGCGCCTTATCTTTGCGTTTGACCCGCTGGTATGAATGAGAAGTACAATCTGAGTAGTCGCTCTGTCTCTGGAAGCTATCATTATACTTGTACTGAGAGTCTGTCTTTATTTCTGATGTATAAGAATCTTAGCAATGAAAGTCCAGATGATATACCGAAGAATTGATGTAGTCCACTCAACGCAGCACTCAGTCGCCTTCTACACAGGAGCAACTCACGAGCTGTTTTATCTTGTGCACTCGTCACTCCGCAGACGCAGATTATTCCTGAATTCAATCCTGCAGACCCGTGCATAGAAGACAGAAGCCTCCGCTCGCCTGTCTCGGTCCACAATGAATCACCGCCCCTCTGTTCGCCCCTGCCCTTTCCATAATCACTCTAGTCTATATTATTTTGTATATTGTCATCTTGGTCTTTGTTGATATTTCTCTTGTTATTAGAAATCCTCTACTTAGTGTTTGGAATAGTTTTTTCTATGTTTTCTATTCTGTTGTTAAGATCGTCCTCGATGTCTCCTTTGTTGTTGATTACTGTTCCTAAGTAATTTGTATGAATTTGTCTGTATTATTTTTTGTTGGTCTATCACTACTTCTATTTGATCTTGCGTCCCTTGTTTCCTTGATATTTCATTATCTGAGTCTCTTCTTCTTTGCGTTTAAGTTGTATTTGCATGCTTCTAGGTTCCATTTCTCTAAGTTTTATTTCAGTTTTTCTGCTGTTTCCGCAATTAATACTATGCCGTCTGTAAATATACACATTGCGGCGTTTATCATTTGCATTCTATTTCAACCGATGCAGTATTTCTTGAATGTTTTCTAACATTCTTTCACTATTTATCTATATTACATTATGAATAGCACTTTGCTGAGACTTCCTCCCTAGTCTAACTCCTTGAGTTGTGTTTCAAATGGTTCTGACTGTATATTGAACATTCTTACTGTATTTGTTGTTTTTATGTATATACTCTTTGTTTCTTCTATCAGTTCTTCACTTACTTGCTTCTTCTTTAGCTTTCCCATATATCTTTTCTTTTGACTGAGTCGAATACTTTTTCCATGTCTATAAAAGCTCAGATATATTTCTCTATTTTTATTTAAGGATCATTCTATTACTTATTATCTTATCTACTAAGTATTATTCTTTTCTGATTTTCCATTCTAATTATGGTTTCGTATACTTTACTGCGATACATAGTAGTGATATATCTCTTTATTTCTCACAGTCTCTGTGTTTCGTTTCTTGTATATAGGTATAATTACTGCATTTGCCTATTTTCTGGGTATTACTTTTCTCTTCCATATTAGGTTATATATGTATACAACAATTTTTCTTGTGCTTTTACTCCTATATTTTCATCATTTCTGGTGCGTACTTCATCGCTTTCTGGGTGCTTTTTCCAATCTTTATCGTTCTTATTGCTTCTTCCAGTTCTTCTTTTCTGTAGTTTCTGGATTTTCCGTGTTTCTCATGGATACTCTCTTGATGTGGCTTTCCTTCTCCATTGTATTCGCTTGATTTCCATTTCAGTATCATCTGGATTTGTTCCCTTGATCTTTCCATTATTGTCTTATCGTCGTTTATTATGTTCCTTCCTTGTTCATTATTTGTTTCAGTTTCGTTTCTTTGTGCTTCTTAGGTTTTTCAGTGTTCTATAAAATAATTTTACGTTTTCTGTGCTGTTTTCCGTGTTTTTCCGAATTTTTCCTAACTTTTATTTTTCTCTTTCTTAACTCTATCTCTTTAACTTTTGTTCTTTGTCTCTTATAATTTTATATTTTTAGTGTATTTTGTCTTGTATGTATTCTTTCCATAATTTTTGTTTCCTTTATTTCTCTTTTCACCTCATCGTTCCACCAAGATGTTCGTTTCCTTCTGTGTTATTTCTTGTAGTTCCACATATTTATTTAGCTGTTTTATCATCGTATTTTTAAATTTTCCCCATTCTCTTCTATTGTTTCTGTTATTTCATGTTCATTGTCCATCTCTTTCTCTAACCCTTAACATCTTATTTTCCTTGTTTCTTCCCTTCCTATAAATTTTTATTATTTCTTTGTGTTATCTGTTTATGTTTTCAGTTCTTTTTACTTCTTTTCTTTTGCTTTTGAATGTGGTTTCTAGTAGATAGTGGTCACTACCAATTCCATAACTCCTTTTCACCTTACGTCTCTTATCCAATTCTTCTCTGTTTTTTGCTCTATAGTATAATCTTTTTCGTTGATTTCAATATAATTATATGTTAATCAGTTTTTTTGCTAAGTATCTTGCTGTATACATGTGCCAGAGATGATGCCAACGTAAAAATGACAAGATGCTGTTTACAGGCGCATCTTAAGAATTCCATGGGTGGTTCAAAGAAACCCAATAAGATAATAAATAATTTCAGTAACACATCAGTTAAATTATAAATTTGAATTTGTTTCATATTTTGATTTTGTTTATAGGTCATATTCCTCCTGGTCACTCCGATTGTCTGAAAGTGTGGTCAAGAAATTACTACGCAATTATCAATAGATATGAATCAACCATAGTTGCTCAATTTTTCGGACATACCCATTACGATGAATTTGAAGTATTTTATGACAAAAAGGATTTATGTAAGTATTTTTTAATTTATTCAAAAATTTAGACCACTTTTAATATGTTTTGAACATTTGGACCAATTCTTTAATGTTTTGACTGTTTTTACTTCTATTACAAGTTTTTAAACTCTTCTTTATCCAGCAAGAGCCATAAATATTGCATATATTGGACCATCGGTAACACCTTACTATGATTTAAACCCGTCATATCGATTGTATTATGTAGATGGTGATCATGACAAGTCTACGAGGGTAAGTCATAATTATAAAAATACTCATTTTATATACCACATGGTTAAAGGTATGAAAAACACTTTTATATACTTTTAAACTGATATGAAAAGGTCTTTAAGTTCTTTGCATTGCTTCATGATATTGTATTTCATTTTATTTTTCAAAATATTACAAACTTTGGTAATCTTCATTACAAATTTAGATTTGAATGTTAACAATATTTTATTTAATTTACAAAATTGTAAAAAGTGCTTGATGGTACTGTAGTTATATTCCAAAAGAGTATTTCGTAAAGCTATTTTGTTTTCAGGCTGTGGTAGATCACGAATCGTGGACAATGAATCTCCGAGAAGCCAATCTATACGGATACCCAATTTGGTTCAAGCTTTACAGTGCCAGACAAGCTTTTGGGCTCGAAGCATTACGACCGAAAGATTGGGATGAACTTGTTACCAAAATGACAAACGATCCAAAGCTATTTGAGTTATTCTACAAGTAAGTGCTTTCGAAACAGGATTTCATGTGTTCTACAGTGTGCAAAGTTCTTTATTACTAACGTGTAATCATAGTTGGAGGTCTGAAAATTTTCACACCGCCTTAGTCAAATCAAAAAAAAAGTTTAACATTTTTAGGTATTATTACAAAGCCAGTCCTGTGCGACCTAGCTGTGATACAGCATGCAGGAAGAAGATATTATGCGATCTACATTCTGGTAGATCGCACGATAGGAAAAAATCTGTGTGAAACTATAGAATCTAGAATAGATTCAACTTCCAACGTGAGTTGGAAAGACTGGTTATACAATACCATATCAGTTTCGTAAGTAGAACTATCATTATTAAGGATCAAATGTTTTATATTACTAAACTTAACGGTGCATAGGTGATAATATTGTTATGCCATTATAGCTAATAATTTTTCTGCTTTCCTAAATTCTTACTTCTCTGCTTCTTTACTTTTTTGATAAAATTAAACTCTTTTTTTCCATTTTATGCACACTAAATTAATTTTACATTAAAATTTCAAATATATTAAAGTTTCGAAATACATTAAAAACATATTTTGTTACAAAAAATTGTAATTAAAAAAATTCAAGCTGAATAGAGCTCATTTACTTTTCAGTCAAGTGTTCCATTTTGTGTTTAGAGACTGTTTCATTTAAATATTATTTAAATAATTTTTCCATGAATATTGTGTAGATGGAATAACTCAATGGTCATGTTATCTGTGCTTGTGCTACAGGGGCAGGAAAGGGAAAAGTTAGCAGCCTATCCTTCGTAAAAAAGGGTAATGCTCATAAAAGCAAAAATCTGTGTCGGAATAGGATTGATTTATTGATGACGACACAAGCGAGAACACGAAATACGAATTAGATAAGTAAAAGTATAATGCGATTCGTGACATGGAATATAAAGACAAAATTCACCAACAAAGATACACATTACACATATTCACACTGAAAGAAAGGCCAAATACTATATCCCAAATACCATGGGAATCTACACAGTAAAGACTATTCAGTTATTGTAAATATTTAATTTTGCACATAGTTGGTTGTACAGCTTAATATTTTAAACAATAAACGATTTTACTATATCTATTTATAAGTCTAAAAAACTTGTTTGAATTTAAATTTTCCTCGTAGAAAAAATGGTCCAATAATATTGTGTTTAAATATTCCTAATCAGTCATTTATTTTTTGACAATATTGGGTATGGCTTTCAATAATATCCTTAGGCTTTCTTGTCGACCAATTCCTATAATTTTGAACGTTTGGTTCATTATTAAATGTAAATGTACATTTATCACTAAACAAAAAATGTTTTTCAAAAATTTTAATGCCTGCAATCTTCTTCTTCTTTGGGTACCGTGTCCGTATTCAGACGTTGGCCGTCATCATGTTTACAATTTCCTGAAACCTTTCTCTGTCGGCTGCTGCGCGAAATAATTCTTCTACTGTGAAACCACACCATTGTTTAATATTACGCAGCCATGAAAGTTTCTTTCGACCAATCCATCTCTTTCCTTCCACTTTTCCTTGTATTATAAGGCGAAGTAAATGGTATTTAGGTCCTCTAATTATATGGCCGAAGTATTCTGTTTTTCTCCTCTTTATGGTGTTTATGAGCAGACGTTCTGAATTGATCATTTGAAGAAACATCTTCATTGGAAGTGTGCGAAACCCACGATATCTTTAATATTCGTCTATAGCACCACATTTCGAATGCTTCTAACTTGTTTAGCATTGTGGTTTTTAACGTCCATGTCTCACAATCATACAATAGGATCGACCACACATAACATTTCAGGACCTTCTTACGAATATTCATTGACAGGTTTCTGTTGCATAAAACTGGTTTCCAGGTCATAAAAGCCTTACGTGATATTTCGATCCTGGATATTATCTCTTCATCAGAGTCACAATTTACATTTAACCAGCTGCCAAGGTATTTGAAATGATTTATCCTTTCTATCTCTTCTCCATTAAGAGAAAGCAGACCTTGATCTATATGGATCTTTCCAACTGCCATCCACTTTGTCTTTGAAATGTTGATTTTTAGGCCTCTCCGATAACTTGCTTCACTGACTAGATTTAGTAATGTTTGGAGATCTTGTAAACTTTCTGCAAGAATGGCTGTATCGTCAGCGTATCTAATATTGTTGATTACTTCTCCACCTAGTCTTACTCCCTCTTGTCTGTCATCCAAAGCCTCCTTAAAGATTTCTTCAGAGTACAGATTAAAAAGAGTGGGTGACAAAACACAACCCTGCGTACTCCACGTTTGATGGGTATTTTTTCAGTGGCACTGTCTCCAATTTGGATAGAGGCTACTTGATTGTAATATAAGTATTTCAGCAGTCTTATATCATAGTGGTCAAGTCCTGCTGCCCGTAGGCAGTCGAAAAGTGTATTGTGTTGGACTCTGTCGAACGCCTTCTCGAAGTCGATGAAACAAACATAAACATTCTTTCGGAATTCACAACTTTTTTGTAATAGAACGCGCATACAGAATAGTGCCTCTCTAGTTCCTAGACCGTTTCTAAATCCAAATTGCTTATCACCATCTTACTTTCGCATAGAAGGAATACTCGGTTTTGTATAATTCGTAAGAGTATCTTCAGTGTGTGACTCATCAAACTGATTAGTCTAAAATCGCTGCATTTGGTGGGCCTGCTTTTCTTTGGTAATGTTATAAACAGTGACTCTAACCAATCATCTGGTATTTTTCCTTCGTTGTAAATTTTGTTGAAGAAAGTGGTTAAGCAGGCAATGCTTTCCTCATCCAAAAGTTTAAGTAGTTCGGCAGGGATTTTATCTGGTCCAGGTGCTTTTTTGTTTTTGGCTTGCTGTATTGCCTTTTCGACTTCCGAATTCAGTATATTGGGACCTCTGTCCAACTGGTTGTCACAGGCAGTATTTGAAGCATTTTCTCTAGAAGCATCGTCAAAAAGGTCAGTGATGTATCTCTCCCATTCTTTGCACTGTTGTTCGTGATCACAAATTTTTCCGTCCGCGCTTTTAAGTATGTGAGCATTTTTCTGTTGTCTAATTCTGGCAGTATATTTAAGTTTCTTATGCAGGTTGAAGCTGTCATGCTTTTTTTGGAGGTCTTCTATTTCTTTACATAAATTCTCAAGCCAGGATTCTTTGGCTTGCTTAATTTTTCTTTTTATGCGTTTATTAATTTCACGATATTCGATAATATTTCTATTTTTGTGTTGCCGTTGAACTTCCATCAGATCTAGAATTTCTTGTGCCATCCACTAATTTTTTGCCAACATGGTAGGTGTTTTCAAAGACTCTTTCTTGTACGTTCTCTACAAGTTGGCTAGTAGGCCTAGTTGGCTTTGTTAATTTCTTCAATTTAATTTGTATTTTGGAGCAGAGTAAATTGTGATTTGAGTTTATGTCAGCGCCGGGGTAAGTTTTTACATCTTTAATATTGTTTCGAAATCGGTGGTTTATTAGGATGTAGTCTATTTGATTCCGTACTATTCTGCCTTGATGTCCATCTTGAGGGGATTTCCATGTATAAAGACGCCTTTCTGGAAGTTGGAACCAGGTATTTGTAATGGCGAAGTCATTTTCTTGGCAGAATTCTATTAGCCGTTCACCTCTTTGATTTCTCTCTCCCAAGCCAAACATTTCCGGTGATGCCCTGCGTCATCTTCTGTCCAACTTTAGCGTTAAAATAATTATACCCATAATTATTATTGCTTCGTGTTTCTTTGTTATTTTTAGCACTTCTTCTATTTGATGGTAGAATTCTTTAATATTCTACTCATCTGCGTCAGCAGTGGGAGCATAAACTTGGATGATATTTATATTTACAGGTTTAGCATTCAGCTGTATTAAAATTACTCTGTCTGATATTGGGATGAAGTTAGTGACATATTTATTAATATGCTGTTTGATAATTATTGCTACTCCATTTCGATGCATATGGCCTTGATTTCCAGAAAAATAAACGGCGTAACCATTTGCACTGAAATTCCCTTTGTTTGGCCATCTTGTTTCACTCGCCCCAATGATAGTAATGTTTAATCTGTCCATTTCAGAGAGTAGATTTCTCAACTTACCGGCTTTATATAAGGTTGTTTACATTCCATGTAGCCACTTTGTATGGATTCTTCATTTTCATCTTATGTCTAGTGATGTTTTCCTCACAGGGATTTTGCTGGCTAGCGACCTGAGAAAGCCCTGTGGTTTGATTGTGTATTCCTTCCCCTGCCGGATCTTGAGTTCCGCAGCCCATGATCAGTAGTATTCGTTACACTCATTGATTCCATGATAACTTTACTAGGGATCATAATGGGGTGGTTTCCCGTTGCTTTCCCCATCGCAGTATCACAGCCGCTTAACTCATAATGTGAGTGACGCCTGTGAGTATCTGGATTAAACCTACAGGATTTTTACTTCCCACAGCCTTAATCCAGTAATGACATTACTGCTTGCCTAATGTCATATCCTCAGTTGATCCGCGGGTACTTATTTGGCAATGCCTTATTCGTACCTGTCCTGCATATCTGCAGGAACTTTCCCTATCAGCCATATGGGACGTGCCGTGTCGAGGTTGAGGACATCCCCCGCCCAGTCTGTCTTCCGTGAAGTACAGAAGAGCCCCTACTCAGTTCAGAGCTCCTCCTCCACGAAAGCTAGACCGGCCACAGTCTGCAATAGTCCTATCTAAAATTCCATAACAAAATTCCGCTCGTCTGTCAGCATGTCCTTCTCTTAGTTTTTGAGAACTTTGAAGTTAATATGAACGGAATTTATTCCTTTTCAAATTTTTAAGGACGTGGAATTATGAATATTAAGCTGGTCTGCAATGGTCTGAGAACTTATTCTAGGATTTTCTACTACTGCTGCTAATACATTTATTTATTTTGATTTCCCAAATTTTCTGTGTACCTTAGCAATATTGTTTGTACAGGTACAATTATAAATCACGGTCCCAGTTTTTTTAAATTTTGTAAAATCCTTTGAATTGGTCTATTGGGATATCTTACGCTAAATAAAGAACTAACCCTTCCGCACTATTGCCCGAATAAAACATTTTTATTATTTTTTAATCAACTTTATTGTTTTTTAAATAATAACTCACAAAATAAAAATTTTGACAATTCAAATATTATGATCAAATATCAGAAACATTAATATGACCAAACGCAACACTTCAGTCATATACATTCTTACACTGCGTGTGGCCTGAAAAATGTTTTATATTTTGCAAAATTTTGGAATACTTTAATTCGTAGAACAATTTTAACATTTGTTTTCGATACAGATTTCAGTCTTCTACAAATATTTTCCTATG